TTTTTTTAAAAAAATCCACATTAATTTTCTCATCCAACAAATACCCATGCCACCCAAATCTCAGGTCATGTTCTTCTAACTCCAAAACCCTTCTATTTCTTCATAATATCAAGTCTTTCAAACAAACAACGAACTGTGAAATACAATTTCAAATGAAGTAAACACAATCCTTCTCTTTCCTTTGCGTCCTGTAACATCTTCCTTAGTGAGAAAGCTAAAACAGTTTAATGGATTTGTACAGAATATGAAGGTTCTGCGTGGCAAATTGTTATTATTTTTAACTCCTGGGAAAGCTCCGTGCCTTTTTAACAGGATCATGTTAGGACTAAATCCCAGGCGTCTCTACCTTTTGCCTCTAAGCACTGCCTGCCTCCGATGTAATAATTAGAATAAAATTATCCCCAAAATGAGAATACATTCACAGAGTTATACAGCTGTATTCTGACCTTTCTCCGTATTATTCGCATGTGTGTGGACAACCCATATTCTCTGCATCTAGACCAGGGGGTCTTCAAACTTGGCAACTTGGCACAAGTCTTATTGTGGACTTCAACTCCCAGAATATGCTGGCTGGAGAATTCTGGGAGTTGAAGTCCACAAGTCTTAAAGTTGCCAAGTTCGAAGACCTCTGATCCAGACTGAAAGTCTTGAGGCGGTAAACAGGGATAACAGAGAAACGCCCGACGAATTCCTGGGAAAATCCTGGACGTTTCGCTTCAACTGTGGGCTGCGCTACACCAGAGGTCCGCTAGATGGCAGAGCAGCGCTGAAAAGGAAGAGAGGAAGGACCGGTTGCGCCATCAGCCACCACAAGATACTAGATAACCAAGTCCGTTCCTTGGCGGCTAAAAAAGATTAGCCGCTCCAACTTTCTGCGAGTCATTCCCGGAAGCTCCTCTCGTGGAGCAGTTTGGCCTCTCCGCACTTGGGTAAAGCGAGGACTCCGGAAAGAGCCCTGCGCGTGTCTTCCTTCTTTTTTGGGGGCGGCAAGGCAGCTTTTCTCTCCGTTTCTCCAGCGGAAGATCGCGGGGGAGAAGCGCCCTTTCCTTCCAGCAGAGCATCCTGAGCGGTGGAGAGAAAACGCGACGGAGCTGGGAAGCAGGTTTGATTTAGGAGCCCCACCTATCTTGCGATTTGGAGAAAAGCTCGTGGTCTGATCATCCACGGCATAGTATTGCATGCCTCTCCGCTCCAGTTTCTTCGGGAAACCCCCATGACTTGGTTTGGTGTCCTACCCAGAGCCCAACTCACTAACCACAAGGTGGAGGGGTCAGTCTAAGAGAGCCATACCATCATGGTTGTGCAAAATCTTGGCTTGACCCATGACATGGTGTATGGCTTCCTCTGCTCTAGTTTCTTCAGTAAACCATCGTTGGTTGAATGGTTGATTGGTTAGTTTGGTTGATTGGTTAGTTTGGTTGGTGGTTTGGTTGGTTGGTTTAGTTGATTGGTTTGGTTGATTGGTTGGTTTGATTGGTTAGTTTGGTTGATTGATTGGTTTGGTTGATTGGTTAGTTTGGTTGGTTGGTTTGGTTGATTGGTTGGTTGGTTTAGTTGATTGGTTTGGTTGATTAGTTGGTTGGTTGGATTGATTGGTTAGTTTGGTTGATTGATTGGTTTGGTTGGTTGGTTTGGTTGATTGGTTGGTTGGGTTTGGTTGGTTGGTTGCAGAGGTGGGTTTCTACCAGTTTTACTATCGGTGCTCATGTGCGTGCACGCACGCTCTTGGGTGGGGAGTGGAGCCTTCCACCACCACCACTATCGGTTTGGCTGAACTGGGCCAAACCGGGAGCAACTCATCTCTGGTTGGTTGGTTGGTTGGCTGATTGGTTGGTTTGGTGTCACACCCAGAACCCCACACCCCAAACCTCACGGTGGAGGGTGAACCTCATGTTGGAGTCCATTCTATGCTTCTTGCAGGAGTAAACTCAGCCAATGGCTATATGAGCTAGAAGGCGCATGTAAGCAATGAACCCCCATCTTGGTCTCTTTCATTCTCCTTCAGTCGCTGCTGTGTGATTCAGGATGGGATCGAAGCTCTCTGTGGATGATTCTGTCCACGTGGTCATAGTTGGAGGTGGCTTCGGAGGGATAGAAGCTGCTCTCCTGCTGCAGGATTGGGGGATCCACTTCATCCTGGTGGACATGAGAGATTCCTTCCACCACAATGTGGCTGCTCTGCGGGCTTCTGTACAGAGTGGTAACTTTTCATATTGGGCTTTCCTTCGTTTCTTTTGAGCTGTATTTCCCACTATTCGGGATTGTCTAACCTTGATATATTGAATTATAACCTCCTTTGACTCTAATATATTTGTAATTCCAGAGATCTGGAAGACACCAGCTGGTGAAAAGTTTGTTTTAGGAACAGTTGGGTAATCTCCGGCTTCATGGGATAGATTTGATGGCGCTCCAACACTGGGGGAAATATGAAATATCAAGGCAAATTAAAGTAGCAAAAGATTCATGTAGATTGGACCAGCTGTTCTCAAATGAGAATACTTATACTACTAGTAGGATTCAGAAAAAGTTAATTAGGTCGGACAAGTTAATCATTCACTGATTTTATTTATGTCTTGAAAGCTTAGCATAAATGTGCAAATAATGCTGATACATTTCTCATTAACATTGTTTGCTGTTATTTCCAGACATTAATTGATGAGGCTTAAGATATGAAAATTTGAGAACCTGTAGACTTTAGATGTGTTAAAAGTTTTCTGTAGGTTTCCGATTTCATGCTCTTTATGTACAATTAATCTATTCAATTTTCTATGCATAATTTTGTAGGGTTTGCCAAAAAAACCTTTATCTCTTTCTCGGAGACCTTCAAAGAAAGTTTCCAGCAGGGCAAAGTAGTCGGGATTGATCTGGAGAAACATCAGGTCCTACTGAACGATGGTAAAGTGAGTACCTCTAAATGAAACATGTAAATTGTGAAAGAGGACACAACAACAGCGACTTCATTCTATTATTCTTTCTTAGGTGCTTTCATTTTCTCACCTGATCCTGGCCACCGGGAGTGAAGGGCCTTTTCCTGGGAAATTTAATGAACTTGTTAATATGGAGATGGCTATTCAGGCTTATGAGAACATAGTCAAGGAGGTAGGTATGATTGGTAGAAGTTACTTTTGTTTTTGAAGTGTGTATTAGTAAATTTCTTGGTAGGAACCATCTGTGGATGGTTTGTGGTATTTATATACTGCCTATTATTCATTCCAATAGATTTTTTGCAGCATATGTTCCAGCATAACTCTGTAACGCCTCAAGCAATTTCAACCAAACTTGGGACACAGATGACTTACTGGAAACAAATTCTGTGGGGGTAAGACACCCCCTAAAAACATTTGGGGGCTGTGTTCTGTTAAGATACAGCCTGTTGTGCCTTAAAATGGCTTCTACTGTACTGCCATAAAATGGCTTCTACTGTGCAGTGCAGTGGAGTTGCCATGGTAGCAGCTTCACAATATTCCACAAGAGGGCTCCCTCTGGTAAGGGGGAAAATCCAACTTTAGAAATAAGGTTTGCCCGGACATTTTCTCCCTATAAATAAATACCCGGGAAACACTGGGGCTATTGGCTAGTTAGTAATATTATTATTGCTACTATTATAAGAAATTTAATTGGCCTTCTGGCCACCTCACTTGGAAATTTTCCAATTTCCCCCTTCGGTTTATAAAATATTCTTTCATTTTCTCAAAAGAACCTTTTTTAGTGGCATCCAGAAAAAGGACTAGAAATAAGAATTTTTTTTCCAAGTGGGAGCATTACTATAATGAATGAAGCTAACATAAAACATAACAGTTGTATGGGAAAGATTAAATTAATTACTATGTTTTTAATTACAATGTAATTACGATGTTTGCTAACTTGGACATAAATTATTTTGAATGACTTGCAGGCTATTTCTCAACACAGGTAGGTAGAACTACAGCAAAAGATTCTCTGTGTTTCATAGCAGAAGTCCGAGTTCAGTAGTGCCTGAAATATTCTAGGAATTTAAACTGGGTAATCAAAATTCAGCTTAGAAAATGTATGTAATTACCCAATTCATGTAATCATGACTGAAGTATGGACATCAAACCGGGGGGGGGGGAAGCTGACCGACCCAAATATAATCTCGCATCATTATCCTGGGACACGTATATTTGTCTTCATTTGTTAAAAAATAAAATACAGGTAGTCCTCAACTTATGACCAACTTACAACATTGAAAAAAGTGACTTATGACCATTTTTTACACAACCATTGCAGCATCCCCATGGTCACATGATCAAAATTCAGATGCTTTGCGGAAGGCCGGAAGCGTAGTAAGGGTCCAGATCTCAACGGGGAGATCGTTCCATAGGGCCAGAGCAGCTACAGAAAAGGCCCTCCCCCGGGGGGTCGCCAGCCGACAGCAGATGGAATCCGGAGGAGGCCTAGTCTGTAGGATCTAATAGGTCTTTGGGAGGTGACTGGCAGGAGGCTGTCTCTCAGGTAACCAGGTCTGATACCATGTAGGGCTTTAAAAGTAACGACTAGCACCTTGAAGCATGTCCGGAGACCAAAGGGAAGCCAGTGCAGCTCGCGGAGAATAGGTGTAACGTGGGTGTACCTAGGTGCACCCACAATCGCTCGCGCGGCTGTATTCTGGACTAGCTGAAGTCTTTGAACACTCTTCAAGGGCAGCCCCATGTAGAGCGCGTTACAGTAAGCCAGTCTTGAGGTGACAAGGCCGTGAGTGACTATCCGAAGGGCCTCCCGGTCCAGATAGGGTCGCAATTGGTGCACCAGGCGAACTTGGGCAAAGGCCCCCCTGGTCGCAGCTGACAGATGATGTTCTAGAGTCAGCTGCGGATCCAGGAGGACTCCCAAATTGTGAACCCTCTCTGAGGGGCGTATAATTTCACCCCCCAGGCTGAGAGATGGAATAGCTGGACCATCCTTGGGAGGGAGCCTCAATAGCCACTCGGTCTTGTCGGGATTGAGCGCAAGCTTGTTCGTTCCCATCCAGACCCTGACAGCCTCCAGGCACTGGCACATCACTTCTACCGCTTCACTGAGTTGGCACAGGGCAGACAGATACAATTGTGTATCGTCCGCATATTGATGATATTTAATCCCGTGCCGGCATATGATCTCACCCAGCGGCTTCATGTAGATGTTAAATAGGAGGGGGGACAGGACCGAACCCTGCGGCACCCCATAATTGAGAGGCCTAGGGGTCGATCTCAGCGGACTACTAGCTGCAATTCGGTAGTTCAAATCTCACTGGCTCAAGGTTGACTCGGCCTTCCATCCTTCCGAGGTGGGTAAAATGAGGACCCAGATTGTTCGGTGCAATATGCTGACTCTGTAAGAGATGGTTAGAGATGGTTGTAAAAGCACTATGAAGCAGTTATATAAGTCTAAGCGCTATTGCTAATAGAGTTACTGATTTATTATTCATGAGTGGCTCTGGTTGCTTGCATCTGACAGTAATCTATGTAAGCTGCACTGAAATCACTGAGATTTTATTCTGTGTGAGTACATACAGGTTTATATCGTTTCAATATACATTTATGCTGAAGATGCCACCTTGGTGTGTGGAAGTGAGGAAGACCAATTTTATTACTGACAGACAGGATGAAATATTATCCAACATATCAACTCTGCTATATCTCCAGTGTGACTATTGTCAATTTGAGCCACTTAAGACAGTCAAGCTGTAAGTGCGACTACACAGAGACAGGTCTAATCTAATGCAACACACACACACACACACACACACACACACACACACACACACTGGCTTTTTTGTATAAAAAGGAGCATGCTTGCAGTTCAAATTTGAGAGAAAGAGCAGGTTAGACATATCTATTTGCCTTGGGAATTTTGGATAATTTGGTGAGGATTCCTGTTGAAATAACCACTATGAAGCCATGTGTTATCTAAAAGCAGGGGTCTCCAATCTTGACAACTTTTAAGCCTGGTGGATTTCAACTCCCAGAATTCCCCAGTTAGCAAAGGGAATTCTGGGAGTTGAAGTCCACCAGGCTTAAAGTTGCCAAGGTTGGAGACCCCTGATATAAAGTAATTGAATGCTGAACAGTATGATTTCATCTTGTTTTTTTTTCATTTGGGTCCCAACAGGTGGAAAAAGCTGAGCGGGTTGTCATCGTAGGTGGTGGTTCTGCTGGGGTTGAAATGGCTGCGGAAGTTAAGATGACATATCCTAACAAAGAAGTACGAAGTAATATCAGTCACTACGTTGTTTTGAAAGTAAAAATGCCTTATTATCTAGAGTCAACAGAGACTAAATGAACAGCTACAAACTCTTGAGTTGATAAAAAAAGAGGCTAGATGGGATCTGTTTTTCAGTTATTGCCAAATCATGCATAAGTATGAATTATATCAATTCTGTTTCGAAAGCTTCACTTTTATAAAATCTTAGAAACTGTAATTTGATTTACAAGTATGATTGTCTGGGAATCTCTGGAGGCTAAATTCATCTTTACATTTGAACTGCATGGGATGTAAACGCCTTATCAGAGCTTCAAAGGTTTGGGAAGAAGAAACGGGAGCAAGCTGGAGTGGGGTGGGGGAAGCTGTGTTTTCTGATCCATTTTGTTTTTTTTAGGTTAGAGAAGTGTAGTTTTATTTATCTCTACATCAAATTTGGATTCCACCCATTTCATTCACAGAGCAAGTCTGGGCGGTATACAGTTCAAAACATAAAAGTCCTATAAAAGCCGTATTTCAATAGGAGGTAGCTAAGACAAGAATACAATACTTGAAGTTAAAAAGGGATTAACAGTTGGAAAGGATCTTGTAGGTCATCTAGTCCAACCCTCTGTCCAAGCAGGAGACCCTGACTACACTGTTTCTGACAGATAGCAGTCCAGTCTCTTCTTGAAATCCTCCAGTGATGAAGCTCCCGCAACTTCTGAAGGCAACTTCTGTTCCATTGGTTGATTGTTCTCAGTGTCAGAAAGTTCCTCCTTATTTCCAGGTAGAATCTCTCCTTGTTCAGTTTCCATCCATTATTCCTTGTCTGGCTTACAGGTCCTTTGGAGAATAGCTTGACTCCCTCTTTGTGGCAGCCCCTCAAATATTGGAAGACTGCTATCATGTCTCCCTTGGTCCTTCTCTTCACTAGACTAGCCATGCACAGCTCCTGCAATCGTTCTTCATATGTTTTAGCCTCCAGTCCCCTAATCATCCTGGTTGCTCTTCTGTACACTCTTTCTAGTCTCGACAACTTTTTAATAATGTGGTGACCAAAACTGGATGCAGGATTCTAGGTGGTAGAGAACTCTTCAAGATGGTAGCAGCCCCAAAGTTCTGTGTGGAGCCCCATGTAATTCAACAGAGCACGTTCTCCAAACTCTTCCAAAAGGCCAGGAGAGTGGGATGGGTGCTGCGTCTTTTCTGGGATGGGGAGTATATTCCAAAAGGTGGGAGTGACAAGCGAGGCGGCTTTCTTCCTACCCCCTTACTATACTTCAACACCATCTTGTTATTTATTTACCAAACACTGACAACCAATTGTATTGTCATTTTTTTCAAGTAGCAAGCCACCTGAAAAGAGGGATCAGTAAAGACTAGGATAAAGTAGTTGACAAAATCCAAACTCAAGGCTGGTTTGTACTTAAACCTTGTGAATGCTGTTATCTGTACTTTGCTTTGGAATTGATACATTTTCTGTGAACTCTTTTCCCTTTCAAATGTCTGGCTTGATATATACACGCTATTCTTCAGGTGTTTGTATGCAACAATTTCTCTTCATTATTAGCCAAAAATATTTGGTAATAATAGCAAAGACATCGCTTGCAATGTTGTCAGAACTTTCCTGCTTACTTTCAGACTTTTTGGAAACATCTGGTCAATGTAGGGATAACAATAATTATTTCATGTGTTCTAGCTGCATTCTTTTTTAATTACTTTTACTTTTGATTTGCTTCTAGTTTTGGACTGTGAGCATGACTGATTATGGTCTTCAGCATGCCACCCAAGAGAGAAGTCTTAAAAAAATAGTGTTTCTCCAAAAATAAGACAGGATCTTATTTTCTTTTGATCCCTTCCCAAATAAGCACATGGTCTTATTTTCAGGAAGGTTTTATTATTGTTGAGGTGCAGGAGGCGGCAAGCGTGGTCACCTCATGGCTGCTGCTGTATAGCAATATTTTTTGGGGAAGGGCTTATTTTAGCGCATGCGCTCAAAAGCCTGATTAGGCTTATTATCCGGAGGGGTCTTATTTTCAGGGAAACAGGGTAGCTCCCCATATTTTAGGAGAGTTCTACCAGACTTACTTTCAAGTAAAAAAAATGTAAGGCGGGAAACATCCAATCCATTGTCTTTTTGACTATTGGAATTTCTGGCCTGTAACATTTAAGCTTCATCTCTTTACCAAAATGTTGCAGAATTTGATGGATATCTGAATTTAGGTTCAGAAAAGAACTAGTCTTCCCACACGACATCTGGAAAATTACATGGCTTTAAGTGGCAAAAAAAAAGTATCTGCATGGCTGGCTGGGGAATTCTAGAAGTTGAAATCCACAAGTTTTATAGTTGCCAAGGTTGGGTACCCCTGATCTACAATAATCTTGCAATATGGCAATGGATGTTTGCTAAATAACTTTCACCAACTGAACATATCAATATTTATGTCCTCAGGTCACACTCATTCATTCAAAAATGGCATTGGCAGATGACGAACTTCTTCCCAGAGTCAGGGAGGCAGTGAAGGAGACTCTTACACAGGAGGGAGTGCATCTCTTGTTGGGTATCGGATTTTGTTATTGTTCTAACATTTTTTTCAAGACCACTCAACCCTAAAGATGGCCTTTTCCAGTGATAGAGAACCTATATCGTGTGTGTGTGTGTGCGCGCGCACACACACACACACAGATACACGGTATTTGGTCTCTATTTAACTCAAAGAACATCACTGACAGATTACCAAGAATTAGGGGCAGATTTATTTGACATTTTAAAAATTCTATTTTTAATACCTTGGTGAGAGCAGAAAGAAAATAAATGCTTTGAGCTTAAAGGCATAAAAAAAAGACACGTAGCATACAAACAATATAGTTTCCACATTATTGTTTACCTGAGGTAGGAGCTGGATATTTCTAGACCTCAAACTAAGGCTGTTTCTTTTAAGACCTGTTGCATTTGGGTATGATGACCAAATTCAAAGTAAGATACACCTTAGTCAAATGTAACAACTGTAGTGTGTTTAGTTTCTTTGTTAAAATACACAAGTGGAATATTAGGAAAAGGGGTAAGCTTTTGCTGCTGTACATTTTATAGATTTGTAAGTTTATAAACTTGTAGGTACATCTTCAAATTGAGGCATGTAATGTTTCTGCATGATGAAAAATATCTCTTTAAAATTGGTGTGTACATGTTAGGTGTTAAAGACCCGTTGGCAGTTCCATTGTGGGAGCATAGGAAGAGATACAAGTTTTTTAAGGAGTGGCAACAGCTATGATGTTCATGCTTACACATGCTCTAAATACTTTTTCCTTGTTGAATTTCAATAATTGTACAGTCATTAGATGTCCTAGTAAAACTGCCTTTAAGGCTTTTTTTAGGTGAAATACTGTAAGTTAGAAAGGCCATAGAACTGATTTGGTTTTCCCCTTTCTCCAGTTTCATGACATTTATCCCCTCTCTGATGATACATCAGGAAGATCAAATAAGGGATGTGGCTGTACAGGTGGTCCTTGACTTACAACAGTTCCCTTGGTGACTGTTCAAAGTTACAATAGCATTATAAAATGACTTAATGACCATTTTTCATACTTAGGACTGTTGCAGATTTCCACGGTCACGTGATCAAAATTCAGGTGTTTGGCAATTGGCATGTATTTATGTCGATTGTGGTGTCCGAGGGTCACATCATGTTTTGAGATCTTCTGACAAGCAAATTGGAGAAGCCAGATTCACTTAACAACCGTTATTGCTAACTTAATTGCAGTGATTCATTTTAACGACTGTGGCCAGAAAGTTTATAAAACGGAGCAAAACGTGCATAATGCCTGGCTTCTTAGCAAGTTTGGGGTTTGATTATGGTTGTAAGTCGAGGACTACTATAATAGATAAGTCCTGGATTCAAAGCTTTCTCAATTTTTTTAACGATCATCTATTACCTTTCTTCTTGCATTGTATAAGACCAACAGAACTCATAATTGTCAACACCTTGCCATCTACTTTTTCTATCCTAACAGGATAATCTAACCCACTGTTTTAATTTCAATTGCACCAGCTAAAGCTGCTTGTTATATTTTGCATGCATGAAGAGAAACAAATTGTTTTGCTTTATAATCAGGCTAGACAAACAGCATTAAAGGATGGAAAGCTGAATGTTTTTAATTAATAAAATTAAAATTAATCAACACGCTCTTAAGTAATACCTTAAAGCCAAAATGGGTATTATACCTTCAAAGTTCAGGGAAATGTAGTGTCTGCTTTTTGTTTCTCCTAATAGATGAGAAAGCTTCTAATCTCCAAATGCTGCCTTTAAACCAATTCAAGGAGAACATGATTGTGAAGACTGATAAAGGTGCAGAGGTTACTGCTGATCTGGTCATTCAATGCACTGGAATAAAAATAAACTCTTCAGCATACAGCAGCGCATTCAGTAAGTTAATAGGTTACCCTTATTCTGTCTACAAATCATTAATTATCGCAGGTTCCACATTATTTCAAATCCTAGTTCTCATTCTTTATCAATATTTCACTAACTTTTTTAAATGATTGACTATCTTTAACTTTAATACTGCAACCTTTTAAAATGAACAGTTGGAAGATTATTCACAGGGTTGCCTCTTTCATGAAATAAATAAAATACCTTTCTTCATCACATAAGTATGTATGACATGGCAATATTATATGCACTCAGCTTGGTGTTAAATGCACTAAGGTTTTAAGAGCCAGTTTGGTGACGTGGTTAAGGCACCAAGCAGGAAAGCAAGAGACCAGGAGTTCAAGTCCTGCTTTAGTCAGCTGGCTGACTTTGGGCCAGATATTCTCTCACTTCAATCCACATTACAGGGTTGTTGTGGATAAACTAGGAGGAGGAAGATATTGAATATGTTTGCTGCCTTGAGTTAGTTGTAAAAATAATAAAAAGCAGGATACAATTAAAAGCATTTACTTGGGCGTATGTATGTATGTTGATAGGGTATAGAAAGAGCATAGTGATCTTTGTTTAAATAGATTTGCTGTGATTGTGATTCATGATCCAACTCATTTTTCAAAATTGAGACTTCCACTGAATAAAATAGGCAAACAGAAAATAACCGCCACAGCCATTTTATGTGTATCTCAGACTACCTCTTGTTTGGAATACAAATAGGGTATTTTTTTAATACTAAAAAATCAAAATAACAATGACTCGTACAATACCAGGACATGTAGCTTTTTGCTAGCCTTTGACATTCATAGATGATTTCCTTGTGTCCCTGCTTAGGAGACCAGCTGGCAAATAATGGTGCTTTGAAAGTGAATGACTACCTTCAGGTTGTGGGATATGACAACATCTATGCCATTGGTGACTGCTCAGATGTGAAAGAACCAAAGATGGCATATCATGCTCAGCTCCATGCAAATGTTGTGGTGACCAATATTATCAACAGCCTGACCCAAAAGCCTCTGAAAGCCTATAAACCAGGTCAGACTATGAATTACATATTTTGTGTCTTTGTGAAGTGTACATGCTTAACTAAAATGCAACACAAGTAATCTAAATCCACTTATAATAGTATTTTGAAGCTTGCATCTCAGAGAGATCATTAGATCTGGTACACTCTTGTGTTGTTGTTTTGTGCAATATTTTTTTCAATTGGTTTCCTAGTCAGGATGGATTTTGTATTGGAAAATAGAATAATCAATACGTAAACCAGTTGTTGGCATGGATTAGCATACTCTATAGTGTTTTACTCAGTATTTATAGAACAGCACTGCTATTTACTGAAATACTAAATTATAAATAGCATGTAGCAATTTTTAAAAATGCAACAAACACCTCACCCCCCTATACCTCTTAAGGTGCTAAATAGAAAATTAAAATAATTAGTACAAACACTAAAGCTAATAGAAGTACTGTTGGTGCTTCAGTCTACTATCTTGGCAACCTCATGAAAAGTATCAATCAAGCTTAATTCTTTTTAAAGAAGTCCACACAAGCTTTCCAACTGTGGAAACTGAGTTACTATAGCCAAATGTACTCTGGCGAATTCAGATGCCGAGTCAAGTAAGTTTTGTTTCTTCTTTTGTAAATAATCTTGTGTTTCCTCTTTAGGATCGCTTACCTTCCTAATCTCCCTGGGAAGTAATGATGGAGTGGGACAAATCTGTGAATACTATGTAGGACATCTTTTAGTGACTGTTCTCAAAAGTAAAGATCTTTTCATCTCAAAAAGTTGGAGGAAGATGCGTCAGCATATGCCATGCTAGGAATGGAACTGCCATAAACAAAAACAGAACTGATGGTACCTGTGATGAATTAGAAATGTGTATTTTGCCCTATTAAATCATAATTACCTTTAGGAAACTAAGCACAAAACCTAGCTATACAGTGCACACATACTGGTGTGCTGTGCCCTGTATAAGCACTCTTAAATGTTCTTTAGCACTTTAATTCAAATGCTTATGGGAAAAGAGTTAATGATGGGGAAAAATACCAGTGCCCTCAAGGTTGAGAAAATAGTAGAACTGTAACTAACACTGAATATACTATTAAAGGGACTCTCTATGCTAAACCAGCATTCTGTAAAATATTATTTAATTTTTTCCTTCTTTCCTTCCCTTCAGTTCTTTCCTCTCCATCATTTATTCATGCCAAATTCTCTAATATTTGCTTGTACTACTAAAGTTGAAGAGACCAAAGTCAGTGTTGCAGAGCTCCCCCTTCCTTTGGTAAATACTAATTGCAATGTTGAATTTGAGAATATTAACAGAACTGTCGTCTTCTTCCAAGAAACTTCTTATTTCTGAAGCCACTTTAAATTTTTATGGAAACGAACAAGAATAATACGCTCAAGGTTAAAGTTTTAAAAAAGCATGATGCTATTTTTTATCAAAACAAATAAGATGAAATATTTTTCAGCAATTACAGGTCATTCTGGGATAAAACAGTAAAGCACCAAGTGAGTCAAAATTATCTTCTCCATCATGGAACATAGACACAACATAAAGATTTCTAACTACTAGTGGGAAAATAAAGGGAAGCAAACAATCCACATTTTTCAACTGATGGATGCATTGAATTGTTTGCTACTCTATAATGAGATTATTTTTTTTTAAAAAAAAGATCTAAACTAAAATAACTTGAGACATTAAAATGTAGTGAACTGGGAAAATAATTTCTTGGGGAAGATACAAAATGTAGAGGGCCTAAAGCGTGATATATCTGCAGCTCAAACTCTCTCAAACAATTCCCCCCTTTCTCCCTCAATAACAAAAGCCCTCCACCCATCACAAAACTTCAAAGCTACTCACATATTCCGTTCTCACAATATTTTAAAAATAAAACCCACTTCTAATTCCATTCCTACTCATATTCATGTTGAAAAATAAATTTTCATTTGGCTTCTGTTACTACTTTGCATCTAGCTTTGCCATCTCTTGCACATAGATGCCAATGCTCTCACTGTCAAAAAGCAGGAAGTAAATGTTCTTCAAGGAAGAAGGACTGGAGTCATCAAAATGGGAAGAAATGGCTTTCAGAGTCACCTGGGCTGCAGTCTGTTTTGGAAAACAATTTCTAAACAAAGAAGGAAAGTTTGTAATTAATGTTCAGTAGCAAAACATTAAATCTTAAATGTTATAACAATATATAGTTGTTATATTCTAAGTAAGTAACTAATAAGCTGAATCTTACTTGGGGTACTCAACCTGGTTTTCCACAAATTTACTGGGCTCAATACCAAGTAATGTACAGATTTATCCCGCTAGGTAGATAATTTAAAGCAAAGTTTCAGGCCATCCAAATGTAATAGTGCTCAAAAGAAAGATATTAGTGCGGACTGACTGGTAAAAAGCAGAGATGTTGGGAGAAAAATGCTGATAAATCAGCCAGTCAATTATAAGGTGGGAAAATGGAAAACTGAGTTTACAACAAATATATCAAAATAATTACTGGTGCATGATAAAAGGTTCCCCTTTCCAGTCAGGTCTGTCTCTAGAGCAGTGGTTCCCAAATTGGGTGATACCGCCCCCTGGGGGGCGGTGGGATGACGTAGGGGGCCGCTAAGAGGCAAGTGGGGTGGCAGGGAGGTGCTAAGAGGCAAGGGGGGGTGGCAGGGGGTACTAAAAGACAAGGGGGGTGACAGAAGAGTGCTGGAGGTGGCCCCCTCGCAGGACACAATTCTGCCTGGGGCTCTATTGGCCGCCAGTCATCCGAGCACTTCCGGCAGGCTTGAAATTCAAAGACTGGAAGGATTTTTTGCTTGCTTGCTCGCTCACTCAGGAGGCATACAAGCATGTCAGGGGGGGGGGGGGGACAAAGGGGGGCAGAGAAAGAAGAGAAGAGCCTTTTGCCTGCATTTCTCCTCTGATATTACTCTGCGTGTGCTGTGCACGGAGAAGAGATGCGGGACTGAATGGGGCTGTCCTTGGGCCTGCATTTCAGGGTTTGGGAATTGGCGCTGTATTACGCAGGGAGTCCGATGTCACTGCACAAGAGCGCTCTCCTGTCTGCCTGCTTCTTTTGTGCTTTTATAAATGGCTTTACTTCTGACTTCCTTTCCGGGGCTGCATTGTGAGCCGCCTCCGTGAGGATGCGCCTGTGCAATGGAGCCACCCCCCCAATCCCTCCTGCACCCTCTCCACATGGATGCGCCACTCTCACCTTCCTCTACCCCTCCCATCTTAGAAATGCAACACAGGTAAACATGCAGCGGGGGGGGGGGAGAGAGCATGGCTAGCCCCCCTCTGCCTCCTTGCTCCATTCGTAGAGGTGGCCTTAAAAAGTGAGGAGCGGGAGGAAGGGCACTTGGAGTGGTTTCTCAAACTTTGAGTTGCAAAGTAATCTCATTGAAGGCTGAAATATAGGGGAGATTGTGGAAAAGGAATAAGCATTTCCAACATATATTGTTTAAAAAAAGTAAATAAAAAGTGGTCTAATTACTGTGTAAAGTTGGATATTGTCACATACAGGAAAAAGCAAAGCAAAACAAAATTATGATATGTCCCATATTAGAAGAAAATGCTGTCTAAATGTTCCAGTATGCCAAACAAGATGTTTTAT